AACTTTTTTAGCCCGCTGATTGCACGGTTACAAGAGACGTATCGTAAATATCATCTCCTCGTCACGAAGCAAATCACAGTCAAAGAATGTAGGGTTATGAATAATGAAGAAGAATTCTTGACAAGATGTTTGTGTAAAGCAGAATTCTTTTTGCACAGGATAATGAGCTAATTTGGTTGACTCAAATGTCATCATTGTCAGGCGCACACTAAGTTCTACCGTAACCTCTTTCTTTTTGCCCTGAGGCCTTAAAATTTGAATTATTTAAACTTAAATTTAAAATTTAAAAAATATGCTGAACTATTAAGAAGCTGCTATCCATTAACAGAACATGGTATACAGTGAGATTAAGGTTGCTGAACTATGAAAAAGAAATCCACACAAGTGCCAAAAAACGGTCGGTTGGAAGTGTCTGCTACTGAATTATGAATACTCTAACCGCACATTAGTATCAGTTTGCAGAGTGGTACGATTACCCGAATTTCTACTTGAGCATACTACTTGAGCTTCACTATCTACTATAATCTTATTGAGATCTCATCATGCAGAATAGATATGATTTTTGTGATCAAGATGTCAAGTAGCCCTGCTAGATTACCCTCAAGCAGATTTGTAATTTCTCTTGACCTAAGTATCCCTAAATTGAGGTCCTCAATCTCAAGGTTATGCTCTTCATGATTAGCACGTCGAAAAGCCCAAATAATAAAAGACGAGCTTTCAAATTCCAAAATAGAGGAGTTGAAAAAGCTCATTGTCGTGCACTTGAAGGTCCGTAAAATCATATTGAGTGGAAAAAACAGGCCATAAGAAATTGATCTTTAAACAATATGAAAAATGCTGCTAAAAATCCCAGATTCTCAACTCTTTGTAGAAAAAATGCTTGAACTTATCACTTTTTCAAAAGGGTGTAGCAAAGTTATAGTAATGTGAATACCCCTCTACCTATTGAGCAATAAGACATAACAATGTAAATCAGATGTCTCCAAAGCAATAATTGATTTGAAACTTTAAGAAAACGGAATTCTGAACCACTGCGAAGTATGACACTGGGCCGAGTTTTAATAGCCTATAAGCCTATAAAAAAGTACTTAGGCTGCCATGCTGAGGTTTCACTGCAGTTGCACACCATCAATTCAAAAAACTAACTTTTAAAAAATCTTGATCTAATATTCCCTTTTCGGGTGTTATGGTGTGGGAATACTCCAGAACTTGCGTATAGTATATTCTTAAACAAAATTTTGATATATATGTGACATTTGCAAAAACAATTTTGTCACAAGAACAAAAACGTAGTAATTGAAAACTTTATTAAACGATCTTTTCGCAGTTTACATCACCGATCATTGTAAAATATCCTAAGAAACAAGCAGATGGCTGGCTCTGCCTCACATAATATGCTTGGTCAGTGAATTTTTCGAATAACGTTATTATGAGAGTGATGTAA